TAGAAAGCTTTCCAAGAATATTAATGATACCTCTTGACCCCTATGTGTAATGGAATCGACCTATACAAGTCGCTCGCTTGGTTTCGAGAAAATTGACTTTTCAAAAATGGAAGGCTTTGCCATGGCAGTACCACAGCAAATGGTGCTTACGAAAAGCTATACGTCCTGAAGGAAAGCATCTTCGAATGAATCTTAAATGTAGAATGTGCAGTGATACCGAGCAATAGGTACAACAGTTTTGGTTAACTCAGAGCAGCTGAAACGGCACAATGACGTCACAAAGATCATACATCTTAAGCAACCGTTCAATGATTATATTATCTCTACTTTGATATCGATATCTACTTTTGATCACATACTCTGATCATCGTTGATCACAATTGTCTAGATATACTAGTCGTGCATCAGAAGAACACGACCGAGCGTATTGCTGCTACACTGCACAAAAAATACCAAAATCAGTGTATCGATTTGAGCAAGAACATTTTAACATCGTAAGAATAACGCCGTTAGTAATTTCTGCAAATCATGTTGTTCCAACATAAATTACAACCAGCCTGGGATGACTGAAAACCAGTGCAATACTACCAAAAAAGTGCCAGAAAGTTATTGCTTTGGACATGGCCACGATGGGGCGAAAAATTTTTTACCATGCCCCAGCTTTACCCTAGGCTGCTGCAGTGCATCCTCTGAAGGAATATGAAACTAAATAATGGCAGCAATGAAAACTTGCTTATGATAAACGTGTGACTTATCTTTGTCAGTGAAGCATAAATAGAATGACGCGTTTTATGCGGCCTCCGCATAAACCTGCATCTGACCAGGTCGGCGAGGACCACCTCAGTCTGTTTTACGTGGCAACGATTGTCGATGTACGCCCCTCGATCAGCTTAGGCATGTTTAATATAAGGACACAGACGAAACCCTATTGCGCTGATAATTGTGGAACAGTAAATCTACTTTGAGGCCGAATTGTCTATTGATAGACGGTCAAGATATCAAAACAAAACAACGATAATATGACTTTACTCAGTATTAGAGGCGCTATGTTACCGATACCGGTAAGAATTATACGTTAAAGAATCCAAGAAGAGGCCAGGTAAATGTGACTATTAATTAAATGTAATAATGAGTGACAGTTGCGTATATCTCACACTGTGAGATCGTGCATCGCGTAACTATAAAGTTAACCCATGTCAAAAAATGAATAATATTTGCTGCAGATCTGGTGATTCCACTGAAACCAGATGGGACTATTCAATTACCAGTCTACCTACGGTAACAAATGCTTCTTCATCACAGTCACCCTGAATGTCAAGGCATTGTAGAGCGGAATCGCTCAGTCGATAGAACGCAGACTCAGAACCGAGAGTATTTGGTTAGAGCACCGCTCGTGTCACTCTCCTTTCAAGGTTTATCAGTGAGGAAACTGTAGGATGAAACAGTAATGTAGATCTTACCACATAGCCGCTGTAGACTCTGCCTTTAAAATAAGACATTCCTGACTGAATGCATGTAAATAGAGATCAGTATCCGTACCATTAATTTCATGGGAAAAGGCGCCAGAAATGGTACCATCATGAAAATGTAAAGAACGGATATTTTCTAACCGTTACCAACTATTCTTTCCTTGTTTTTGTCTACGCTACTCTGGAATGACAGCTTCAGCGATGAGTATTTCGATAATTAACCGAAGCAACGTCCACACTGTTGGAAGCAACTGTGTTCCACCACACTGCTTACCCGTTCTCATCATAGTATGACATTTGTAGGTTGGCATGAAATGTATTGATAGAAAAAACGAACAGAACTGGTGGCCGTCGAGAATCAAACAGGACATAGAAAAACAGCTTTCGGCTGATGCTTCGCGCTGTTTATGGCCCGGATGGCGAGTAATTTTTAATAAACTGACTTCGGTGTCCCTTTAATCAGTTTAACTGAACACAGAAGACAAT